ATGATACCATTGAATACTGCAGGGCCCAGCTTCCATGTAAACATGGACAAGATAATGCTACTGGAATGGCCCATGGTCAGACAGCATAGAGAATCCCAACCCAAAATTGCAGCATGAGGCATACACCCCCATCCACATGCTCAGATGGCTAATCACCTATGAGTGCTACATATGTTTTCATCCTTACTGTTTCCCCAGGCACAATAAAAATGTACAGTACTGTACTTGAAGGCATAAACATTTTTGAGATCGTTTTCCGTAATCTTTTTCAAATTGTCAAAATCGGACCAACCAAATGTTACATAATCATACACTGTGTTAAATATTAAAAACACGAAAAGGACAAAATATCCAGTATGTTTATTTTTAGAATTTGTGTCTGGAGTGCAGTGTGCTCCAACTATAAAACACCACTACTGATGACTAGATACAGCTGTGTAGTGTAAACAATTGCCAGTAAGTGATAGCTCATCTCTCTGTACCTGCCTTAGATGGACCAATGTGAAGAGCATTTCATCATGTCACCATGGCAGAAAGGGCTGTTCTATAACAAGCAAGGGGAACACTACAGATTACCCCACCTCTGCCAGAGTCTTTCAGCGGAAACTGTGGCAAACAGTGTAGAATGCTCAGAAACATGTAGAATTACACTACAAATTCTGCACATTTTCTCTCTGCTGAACAAAATCTGATCACTGCTGTGGTTCCCACAGCGTTGGTGGAGTACTATGCCATGCCAATGGCAAAATTATTCCTCTGGAGAGTACCCCTGCTGTGCTGGAGAGAAGGTATTATCAATGTAACACGCATCTCAAAATACCAAACAGAAAACTGCATTGAATTGGGACAACAATGGGTCAGGAACAGAGATGAATCATGCACTCCCAAATTACAGGAGGGCTCCCCTCTGCTCTAGCCAGAATCCTATACTTGCTTATGAAACAAACCTGGAAACATTTCGACTACAGTGCTGTCCTCTGAAGATGCCGGCCACAGAGACTGGCGAAACGTTAGGAAGAACAACCTTCAGAACACGGCCAAAGAGCCCGAAAAACCCACAACAACCATTTTGATTACAACTTCCAAAAACTCACAAGGACCACGACTATGTGTCTGGATGTTGTGGTCCTACTCACAATATTAGTTTGCAAAAGAAGGGTGTATAAATTGAAATGCTATCGATGGAGTCGGTATAGAACTGCAGACAATTATCCTTTTCTATCACAGTACAAACGTTCTACACAGAAGGTCCCAGATCAGTTAGGGAGGTAATAAAAAAATCACCTGATGATTACCAAAGACCTCCAAGTGTGTCTAGGACCGGGAAGGCACTTAAGCATCATCAAAAAGGCAGATATGCATCACTAGAAAGGACAGTAGAGAACAATGAGTTCTGTTGAAAGGCATTACTAATTCATATGATCTCATTTCTGCAAACTTGCATGTGATTTATAACTTAGAATTTTTTTATTTTTGGTACTGACAGAGCATTCAAGTGGGGAAGATCATGGATCTGCTGTCCTAACTAGAAAGAAGAGAGCTTCTCAGAAACATTGTTCCATTATCATAGAAACCAATGGGCTTTCCTCTACGGTATTTGTTCCTGGCATTCTCTGTGAATACAGTACACACCTTCATAGTCCCCTATCTCCCTTTTTGTGATGAGATTTAGACTGCCCAGTCCTTCAAATGGGAGACACTTGCAAAAGAAAGACTGACCTCGGATACATATTCAGAGGACCGTCCTCCAAAAGTAGATGTGGCTACCATACCAAGACACGAGAAAACAAACTGGCCTTTGTTTCAATGCCCAACTTTCATGGAAATATAATCTGAAAGCAATTAATCTGAAAGCATCTCAGCCCTCTCAGTCTCTTTTGTGGTTTACCTCAACCCATGGCAGGAGGTTGGTGGCCCCTGCAGTTGAGGTATTTGCCAAGAAAATAGTACCCCAAATAACATATGGGACAGAGATGTGGGGATATATAAAGACTCACACTGAAGAAGTGATCCAAAATTCTTTTATTCGATCTCTTCTAACTGTCCCTCACAACATATCCTCAGCATATCTAAGGGCCGAAGTAGGATTGATTCCAATTGAAATACATTCTCATATTGCGCTGGCCATATATTGGCTGAAATTGGCCAATATGAATGATTCTCGCCTTCCTATGAAGTGCTACACAGAACAGCTTCGGAATCCTTCTCAAAAATCCTGGGTGAATTTAGTTAGACCCATTTTGCAGAACTATGGGATTGACACAGACTCCCTTCCTACCTTTGTTTCAAATAGAGCTAAGCATCTGGTTAAAGAAAAAAAATATGTCTTTAAGAGGCAGGATCTCCGTGCCATCTCAGAAACGTCCTATAACTGTTGGTTTCCTTTGTATAAAACATCATTCTGTTTAGAGGACTACTTTGTTAATTTAACCTCAGCCCCTCTAAGAAAAGTGTTCACAGCTCTGCGCTTTCAGCATATGCTGACTGCAATACAGTGGTGCCCCGCTAGACGCTTACCCCACATGACGACAAAATTGCTTGACGATGACTTCCTATGGGGGATTTTCGTTTAACGACTATTAGGTCTGTGCTTCACAAACCAATTGTTCACAAGACGACAATTTAAAACAGCTGATCGGCGTTTCACAAAATGGCTCCCCGCTGTTTTCTGGACCGATTTTCACAAGATAGCGATTGCAAAATGGCCGCCCTATGGAGGACCTTCACAGGATGGTCAGGTATTTCCCCCATTGGAACGCATTAACCGGTTTTCAATGCATTTCAATGGGTTTTTTTTTCGCATGACAACAATTTCGCTGTACAGTGATTTTAACGGAACGGATTATCGTTGTCATGCAGGGCACCACTGTATTAGTAGGAAGATTTGAAAATGTTCCTTTTGATCAAATACTTTGTACAGTGGAGCCTTGCAAGATGAAAATAATTCATTCCACGAGTCATGTTGTCTTGCGAAATTTTCATCTTGCGAGGCGCAGTTTCCCATAGGAATGCATTGAAATTTAATTAATGCATTCCTATGGGCCAAAAAAGTCTGAAAAAGTCACTTACCAGGTAGGGAGCTGAGGAAGCACCATCGGAGGACTGATGGGGGACCCCTCACCATGATCACTGGCTCTGGAGGCCTTTGGATACTCCCCCAGCACCACTGCAGGACTGGTGGGGGTACCCCGCAACCGCGATTGCCACTTTCAGAGGTCTCCCGCCAGTCCTCTGATGGTGCTGGGCAAGCCTGAGAACGGAAAAAGGCAGGGGAAAAGGGCGGGAACATAAAAAATGGTGCTGGGCAAGCCCTGGGAGGCCTCTGAAAGCGGCGATAGCTGCGTGGGGCCCCCCCGTCAGTCCTCCGATGGTGCAAGGGAAGCCTCCGAAGGCGGCGATCATGGCGAGGGCCCCCCTGCCAGTCCTCCGATGGTGCTTCCCCACATCCCTACCTGGTTAGTGACTTTTTCAGATTTTTTTGGCCCATAAGAACGCATTAATTAAATTTCAATGCATTTCTATGGTAAACTGCGCTTCGCAGGACGAAATTATCTTTGTCTTGCGAGTCACCAAAAAACCCCTCGCAAGACGCTTTCGTCTTGTGGTTTTTCATTGCGCGAGGCATTCGTCTTGCGAGATACCACTGTATATGTGGATCAGGAGAAGTTGAAGATGTTTCTCATTATTTGTTAAGATGTCCTTTATATGATCACCCCAGGAGCAAACTCCTTGCAGGTATACTTAGAACTTTGCGTGACAGGACTTCTGTGGCTAAATTCTGCATGCTGCTTGTGGACAGGGATGTATTTACTACCCATCAAGTAGCAAAATTTGCCCCGGCAGCAAAGAAGATTCATGCCAAGCATCCAAAATCCTAAATCTTTTTTAAGTGTAATTGTGATATGACAGTGCCACAGATGTTTGATGCTGTCATTGATATATTGCAATGTCCTATGGTTTTAAGCAATCAACCAATAAAGTAAAGTACATATTCAGAGGACTGCCCTCCAAAAGTAGATGTGGCTACCATACCAGAATACGAGAAAACAAACTGGGCAAGTTGGACAATCTAAAAGTAGGGTGTAAGGTGGTCTCTCATGCTTGCAACTATGAGTCTATTTTCTATGAGTCTATTTTTGAATTCTGGAATACAAGGGATTTATGTCTCATTCATGATAATGACTGCCGAAGAATTGATGCCTTTGAATTGTGGTGCTGGAGGAGACTCTTGAGAGTCCCCTGGACTGCAAGGAGAACAAACCTATCAATTCTAAAGGAAATCAACTCTGAGTGCTCACTGGAAGGACAGATCCTGAAGCTGAGGCTCCAATACTTTGGCCATCTCATGAGAAGAGAGGACTCCCTGGAAAAGACCTTAATGTTGGGAAAGTGTGAAGGCAAGAGGAGAAGGGGACGGCAGAGGATGAGATGGTTGGACAGTGTCACCGAAGCAACCAACATGAATCTGACACAACTCCGGGAGGCAGTGGAAGATAGGAGGGCCTGGCGTGCTCTGGTCCATGGGGTCACGAAGAGTCGGACACGACTAAACGAACGAACATGATAATGAACGGACACTGCCTTTATTTCAGTTGCTACTTTATTACTGTTTTTAATTCCCATGTATTATGTGTTATCAAGTCTATACTAAATAAAAAAATAATCGCCCTTCTAAAAAGTTTTCAATATTCTAGAAGTTTTGAAATTGGAAAGATCCAATATGAACCTTTCTTTCTCTTCTACGAGGCACTAAAAGTTCTCATTTATTTTTTGAGCAGCCGCTTCAGCAACATTCTTTGCAGAATGCAAAAGCTGTCCTTCCAAAAACGCCAGTACAGGTCTTCGATAAGGCAAAACATCCTCCTCACTGCAAAGACTGCCCGGCGCGCGCGGGTGACAAAAGGAAGGGAGGGGCGGGAGAGGAGCGATAGCGTCGGCGCAGGCGCCCCAAAGCTCGCGCTCTTGTCTCGCGCCGCTAGGGGCGGGGATTGGGGCTTTTGATGTCCCGCCGCTCGGCGCGTCTATGGCAGCGTCTTCAGTCGCCTGGAGGACGAGCGCTTCCGCTTCCGCTTCTTCTTTCACCGAAGGGTCCCGCGGCGTTTAGGCCGCGCCCGCTCGGGCCGGGTTCGTAGTGGGCGCCATGCGGCGGGGGCTTTTGCCGCCGCCGCCGCCGCCCTCGCCCTCTCGCTCGCTTTGGCCGGCGCTGCTTCTTGTGGCCGCGCTGTGTGGTGGTGGTGGTGGTGGTGGTGGAGGAGGAGGAGCTGCAGCAGCAGTAGCTCCTGACCCGGCGGCCCGACCGGACCTCCGCCCCACGCCTCCGCCTCCCCTTTCCTCCGGGCGGGCAAACCACCAGGACGCCCCTTCGGCTCCTCCGGGCACTCCCGGTGGGGACGCCGCGCGGAGCGGCACTGCGGGCAGCAGCAGCAGCAGTAGCAGCAACAGCCTGGCCGCCGTGCTGCCCCCTCCGGAGGACAACCGGCCCATGACCCAGCGCGCCCTCTCGGTGCTCGTCCTGGCCAGCGCCGCCCTCATCGTTTACTTCGTCATCCGGACCGTGCGGTGAGCGGCGGAGCGGCGGCTCTCCGGGGCCTGCCTTGTGGTTGCTTGTAAAGTTTGGGGCGCCTCCGAACAGTTCCCTCCCTCCCCCCCCCCCGGCCTCTGGGGAAGGTGGAAGTGACCCTGTCTGGGGAGGGGCTTCCTATGCAGCCTTGTTTATCTGTGGCAGGCAACACACACACACGCACAGAACGCAACACACACATGCACAGAGATCCTACACTACACTTGAGCATAACCTCCTGTCTACTGTCAGCTCTGCAAACATTCTCTTTGGGATCCGGTATTTAAACTTTGCCAATCCTTTACTTCAGGGATGGGGAACTTTATCTCTGGTGGTCCTTTGGACTTAAGTGCCCCTCAGCTCTACCCACCAAAGTCAGCAGTAGAGGGTTGTGGGACCATATTTCCAGAACACGCTAAAGTCACCCTCGCTATTTGATAGAACAGGTATTGTCTCGTATGTTGCCTTTTAAGAGCGTCTGGAAGGTAGCTCATGGTATATACATTTGGTTTGGACAGCATGTTTTGGGCTATCAGTGATTTATTGAATTGAATCTAATTGGAGCCAGAGATTGGGAGTTAAATTCCTCACTGCCTTGACAGAGGTTTGGACTGTATGATCCATTGGGCCCCTTTCAGCTGCAGTTCTGATATGATAAATTGAAAACATACCTTTTCTCGCACATTGAGAAGAATTGCATATTTAAGCAGACTGCAAGTTTGTAGCCAAAGGACCTATTTCTTTTTTAGTTTGGAGTAGAGGCCCAGTTTCATGTTTGTGATTGTTAAAGTCCATTGAAATAAAAAGTACTTAAGATAGATGTGATTGATAAGTACGTATCATGGACTTGAATGGGTCTGCAGTACTGTATGTGTAACTGATTTCGGCTGAGGCAGAGCATGAACACTTCAACCCATTGCCTCTGGGTGCATCATTCTTGGTATTTTGCAAGTCACAATGATGCTACAGCAAAGCTGCTGTTAGCAAAACTCTCCTGTCAGCACATAGGGTATAGATTCATATGGTACCGTAAAGTCTTATAGAGTTATTACATCTTAGGCAACCATTGACTTGATATTCACCAGCTGCATGAAGAATTTCTACTCCATCCTACTTTCATTAGGGAGGCATACTGATACTAAGTTGCACAAACACAGGTGGATAAAGAGAAAAAGAAACGAGTGAATCCAGCAGATCATGAACTACAGCTTCCTCTTTTTAATTCTGCCCATTTTATAATTTGCTCCATGTTGCAGTTTTTGGAGCCTCGTGGCACAGTAGTTAAACTGTTGTACTGCAGCCAAAACTGTACTCATGACCCAGGGTTCTATCCCAAGTAGCCGGCTCAAAGTTGACTCAGCCTTCTATCCTTCCGAGGTCGGTAAAATTAGTACCCAGCTTACTGGGGGGCAATGTGTAGCCTGCATAATTAACTTGTAAACCGCACAGAGAGTGCTGTGGGGCAGTATATAAGCAGCAAGCATCACTTTTTTTGCTAAAAGTACTGCACATCTGACAGAAATAAGCATTGGGATGACAGGAGAAGAGAAGCCTTGTAGAAGCAACTGGCAGCATGGAAGGCTGACCAAAATAGGAGATTAGTCTATCAGCCTAATAGTAAATGATGGCCAAGTTATACTTGATTCCTGTTTGGGATATAAATGATGGAATTATGCACTCTTAAAAATTAATGTCTGTATAAAGAGTGATTCATGATTCCACTTGTTTCCATCACGTCCTGACTAACATTGTGAAAGAAGCTTCCCTTTCCTTTCTGGTTTGCAGTGCAACACAATTGCTGGGAAAATCTCTCCCTTTCCTTTGACACCAAACTGGAGAGGAGGATTTGATGTGGCTTTGGGGTAGTGGCCAGTTGAGATGTTTCAAGGTCTTGTGTCATCCTATATGAAAACAAGGCCCAGTCTTTGCCCTCTAACTCAGGAGAGAAATTTTAGAAATAGCAGTTTGGGTGACATGCCCTTTACGCACATCCACCACCCACTCCTGGCATAACTCCAGCCTTCCCTTCTCAGCTTCTATCTTTGCACTTGTATTGCATTGCTGAGCTCTTAGGGTCCCCACAAGTGTGCTAGGATTCCACCTCTAAAGCTTCAAGACCTTGCCTGGTTGTGCATCAAATCAATCAAAGACCTGTCTAAATGTATATTGAAATCAGTTCTTCTGAATTTGCTGGGCTTATTGTAGAGTAGGTGTTCACAGATTTGGAGCTGAGCATTACAGTTCAGTGCAGTTATCTGGGAGCAAATCCCACTGAGCTCAGTCAAAAATACCTCAGTCTAAATTCGTCAAAGAAGTTATATAATTCTGTGAGTTGAAGCAGCTGGCTGCAGAGTGAGGGGTCAAGAGTTTGAGTCTCTATGGTGGTTCTTGCAAGGGGCAGTCTAAATTATCCATAGTGTGTGTGACTGATGAAGTCTTATGCCCTGCCACTCATTTGACCTTGGCAGCCAGTATGGCCCCAGTGCACCAGCAAAAGGAAGGTCTGGTAAACCACTTCTGAGTGCTTTATTCCTAGAAGATCCTGGGAGAGTGGTCATAAGTTGGAATTGACTTGATAATAAATAATTGATTGATTAAGTATTAAGATTGCACTGAGGAGGAGAATCCTGGTGACATCATGAGCCAACTTGTGTCTCCTTACCAGGGGGAGGTGGCCTCTACAATTGATACTACATATAGAGATATTCTTTTTTAAAAGTCAAATTATTTTGAGGTAGAGCAGAATGTATTCCAGCAGGGGAATGACACTCTGGCATGGTGAAGCCTACAAGTAGAGTTACCATTTCAATGGGTATCAATTTTAAATAATGGTTTTGCAACATATTATAATATTATGAATAACATATAAAAGTTATATGCTAGGTTGGCGAGGAGCTGGGACAAAGCAACGGGCGCTCATTCCGTCGAGTGGATTTGATCTTATGACTGCTGGTCTTCTGACCCTGCAGCACAGGCTTCTGCAGTTTAGCCCACAATGCCACCACATTGGTAAAACCATTCTTTAAATATCTCACTTACCCTGAAAGCTCTTCTAGTGCCTCTGTAAGTCGCTTCAGACTTGATATAGAACACAGAAATACTTCCTTAAGAGGAAAATAGTTGAAAGTTTTTTTGTTACTGTCAAGTGCTTCTAGTTAATGACAACCTTATGAATCAATGAGCTCCAAGAGGTTTTAACAGTTAACAGCTCTGGTCAGTTCTTGCAAATTAAAGATGACAAATTTCATTATTGAGTTGATCCATTTCATGTGTGGTCTTCTTTTCCTACTGCCTTCAACTTTTTCTAGCATTGAGTCTTGTCTTAAGATGCATCCAGAGCATGGTAGCCTCATTTGAAGGCCATTGCACTTGAATGTACAGTATCCATTGTAACGTCATAGAAACTTTCCACCAAAGGTTAAAATATTTTCATACAAATAAAAATAGTCTTAAAAAAGAGAGTGTTGGAGCCAGATAAATACCTGTGGAATGGGGATCCCTATCCTCCCCGCAAGTCTAGAATACTCTGCTAAGTGGTGGGGGATGTGATATGATGGACTAAGAAAGAAATGGGCTGCTTCTGAATTTTTTTTTTTTTTACATTTTCCCCTTCCTCCTCAGTTCCCAGGCCCTTGGAGGAGCCTTTTTAGGAGAATGAGTGGACAGAAAAGCCAGGTTCACCCCACTCTGTGCATAGTTATGTGGGTCCAACCTCAAATATGCAAGATGTATTTTGGTATAAGTTCATTAATCCTAGGCAGAATTTAAAATGCCATTTCTATAAAATGATTGAGAGTGTCTTTTGAAGCATATCTAGTCAACATGTTGGTATAAAGTCCTCATCTTGTACCTTAGTGGAAATGTATTTGCTTGAAGGAAAGAGTAATTATTTGAAAATAGAATGTTTGAAACTGAAGGTTCTGCTTTATTGTTTTAAATAATTTTCCTATTTCAAGAACCATCATTTATTATTATTGCAAAGGTGGAAGTAGAGCATTGTTGGTTCTTTTTTGAACTGTGTGTTTCTAGGGCTACAGGAGGAATGACAATGCAAGATTAAATACACCTTTTCCTCAGAATGCTTTGAAATCTTCTAGTCATATTGTATAGATCAACACAGCCATTAAATTAAAAAGAAAGAATTCACAAAAATGTTTACCACCTATTGTATACCAACTTGATTGTTCAGTTGGATGTACTGCTTTCATATGCTAAGAGAACAGTGCTTTATAGAAATAACGGTGATTTCTATAAACTTGTGTGCATACAGTTTTCTGAGGTTCCAACCCAGTGGTCAGGGAACAAGGGTAAATTACCCCAAATGGGGTAAAAAGGAAAATCCTGGGGGTAATGAGGACATGATCCTAATCACCTTCTCTCCTCCTCCTCCTCCTCTTTTTCCTCCTCACATGATCCTAATCACCTGCCCTCCTCTTCCTCCTCTTTTTCCTCCTCTTCTGCCCGGAGGGGGGATCCCTGGCTGCCTGATCGCCTCACCCCCTTTTCTGGCCTGGCTGCAACTTAGCCACAGCGGATGGTGGCTGGGGACGGCCCCCAGCCGGTGGCACAGGGCAGCCGAGGCAGCGGTGGTGGGGCTGGCCATGGCAGAGGGCAAGGCCAGGGCGAGTGGCCACAGCGCCCTGGCCAGGAGAAGCCTCTCCTTCTACTACCTGGAGAGGTGTATTGCGGCAGAGGGGGGTGGGCGTGGCCACGGCGGCAGCCCGGGCCAGGCTCAGCCTCCCAGCGCCAGGACGCCGCTGCCCTACGTCCCGTTCCCGGAGGAGCCCGTCAGGCGGCAGTGGTGCTCACCCGGCCGCATGGCTTCCTTCGGCGCCAGCTGGCCAGTCCTGGAGGAGCCTCTTGCCATCCATGCAGCAGCTGTTGCGGTGCTTCGACAGTGAGGCCCGCGGAAGCCCTGGCACTGAGGCCCAACGCGGCTGCTGGTGCTAGAGCGGGAGGCACCGTTAGGTGCCCCCAGCGAGCAAGCCACCTGCTGGTCTTTGATGGCTGCCCGGAAGCTGCCCGCCAGAGGAAGAGGAGGCCCAGGTACAGGCAGTGAGGCTTCTGTGATGGTGTTCGACTGGCCACGCGTGACCAAGGTCCTTCCTTTCAAGTGAAGGGAGTAATGTTGGTGTATATAAATATTTTTTTTGGGGGGGGAAGGTATAAAAGTTCCCTGACCCCTGTTCCAACCTGTATATCAGTGTAAGTTGCTGTAGCTCTGTCCTTGGCATGTTAACACACATTTAGAAATATTTGTGATCTGTTGTAAAGTTCCTAAAGGTTTACAGCTGCCTTGGTCTATTTGAGTTCACTTGTTTTTTAGGTGTTTTAAGGCAACATTTCAGGGGACTGTTATTTGATACCTTCTTGAAACAGAGAGGGAGCTACACTAGAGTTGAGTGGGGATACTAATGTACAGTACTTGAAAATCATATTGTTAATGCTTTTTGGCTGATGGTAATGTCTGCACTTTTCCATTCCCCTCCTTTTTTGCCCTGTTTTTTGTTTGTTTGTTTTTGTTTTTTTAGAGAGCAAATATTCTTTGGTTCATTTCATTTAGTTCGTGGTAAATATGTTGTAACTTTCACTTTTTTCAGACTTAGACGAAGGAACAGAAAGACACGTCGGTATGGAGTTCTGGACACTAACATAGAAAATACAGAGTTGACACCATTAGAACAAGATGATGAAGATGATGATACAACACTGTTTGATGCTAATCATCCTCGAAGGTTGGTAGCTAGGGATAGTAATATTCTGATGTGAGAGACAAGGAAATGATTATAACGGTACCCATTTGTAAACAAAACAGTGTACATTCAAGGATGAAGTTACTGTTGAAGTATTTTTAATACTTCTCATATCTGCGGTTGTTTATGTTGCAATTGTAGCATAGCCATGTTTTATATCTGATTGCCAAAAAAGTTTTGCTTATATTCCCAATAGTACTGCATGTACTAAATAAAGGCAGTGGACATTGCTAGTAGCACCGTTTGTCTTTTTTTTCCTAGCTAATTAAATGAATAGTACAGTATGTTGCTTTCAATTTCATTTGCAATAACTTTGAAGTTTCTTTTGAGAAATATGAGCAATTTCCAATTAAAAGAATAAATATTTTCCTCAAAATAGTTTAAGGCTACTGATCTCAGTAGCAAGCAGTTTGTATTTGCTTGTGCAAATTATTTCTGTAATGGGGTGAACACAGATGTCTGTGAAGATATGAAGCAGAAATGGGAATTGCACATGAAGTTTCAGTGGCATTGCAATATAGAATATCATGGAAAATTGTACCTATAATTGAGTTTCCTTATTAAGCGTACATGTGGATAGAGGATAGAAAGCACAAGATTTTTAAAAATACAGTTCAGAAAAAAATGTTTTTAATTTAGTTACTTTACAGTTCTGCATGTATGGGAAATAATTGATTCAAATATATTTAATATTAGAAGCATAATAGCAATCAGTTGTTCACAGTTGAAATGAATGCAGCTCATTTCCCATGGGAAGGCACAGTTGGATAGCTGAACTTTTATGACTGCATGTTGACTTCTGTTTTCTCATTATTTCTAATACATGCTTTCTCATTTCCGAATTTTACAAATCACATTATAAATCTAATTGCCATTAATGGTTCTCTTAAAAAAAAAACAGAGGTTGCTTTATTGTTTTAGCTATAAAAATGATCTTATCATTAGGTTGTTGTCCATAATGAGTAGGTCAGATTTGCAGGAATGGAGAACTAAATGTGATGTCTGCTATTCTCATTTAAGTGGGCAGAATCCTGTTAGGAAACATGGAGCACTATAGGTTCTTGGGCAGAAATTACAGCACATTCTCCAGGTTACTGTTTTGCTGAAGATTGCCTTGTTGAAAGCAACACAGTTTGGGGGATAAGGAATGCCCCCTTGGGCAGACACCTCAACAAAGACAACTGCATGCGCAGTGGTCTGTTGCACATATGCTAAAAATGAATAAGGTTTGGCAATGGTGTTTGATCTTACAACATTTCTGTGACCAAAGCATTTTTGCTCAATTTTACACAGCATAAGAGAGATAACATTCTAAGCAACAAGAATGTTTAATTTAAATTAACTGAAATATTATTATCCCTCCCTCTTGAGGTTACAAGTCTTCCTAGGTCTTCCATTTGCCCTGGGAAAGTCTTCGAGAGTCTCAGGGCCAGAGGGGAGCCTTTAATTGACATAAATCACTATCATTGGAAATGGGACTGCTGGTAGGAATTATTTTAAGCACCCAGTCTCCCACCCAGTTCTAAGATTCTCTATTTTTCATGGGGCAAATAGAGCCCCAGGGAGCCTCAGAATCTCATGGAGGGGATAGGAAGCTTTTAATTAATTTAAGTTATATATTTCAATAGCTAGTTGCCATCATCTAGCTTGGGTAGCATAAGTTAACACCAAGAGGACTCTGGCCTATATATCTCAAAATTAGTACACTTGTTTCATTTCAACTGCATTGCTTCCAAGGTTAGGAATCCAAACAGATCACATGCTACTGCACAGTCATGAGTAACATTATCATGATAGTGGCTTCTTTAGTGCAACACATCCTTGGGAAAATTGACTTGCCTTGAAAAATTGCAGATTGACCCTTTTTTAAAACTTTGTGTCCTGAGCATATCTTGAAGTGAGCGAGCAGCAATCAGGTTATCTCGGTGACTGTATTATTGCATAGTTTGGTCCACACAATAGAATAGTTGAGCTGCAGATGTGAGCTAATTGTACTATTAATTACTTTGGCTAGGGAGTTGTTACTAACTTGTCTTTTGGGGATTCTAGACAGTGACTGAGATCCTGTTGTGTACCTCTGCATGTGTAATAGCACGGATGCCACTTTTGGGAGAGTCAGGAAAAGTCAGGAAAATTGTGATTAAAATATATTCAAGCAGTGGATTTTTGACCTGCTGCTGCAGGAGCATGATCTGCTCTTGTGGCAACTGGAATAGATATGTAGCAGAATATAAGTAAAGCTTGATGATGCCCTTTCCCAGCTCCACCTTTTTTTGAGCTCCACCCCCAGCAACCAGCTTAATGTGTTTGTTGAACTCTGTCCCTGCATGATTTCCAAGGTCTGCCTGTAGTGTTTGCAGAGCAAGGCTAGTTTAAACATTTAGCAAGATACAAATTTTAAACATGTGTTTTCATCCCTACCTGCTAGTGCTGTACTACATTAACTTACATATAAAGATAAGCGTGTTTTTTGGTCATGCTTGTGTATGGAATGGACATTTTGCCTCCTGCTAAACCCAGCACAGACTTGAAAATGAGTTTTGCTGTTGTATTTTACAGTCAGCTAGCACTTTCTACTCTGCACCATGCAAAGTAATTTTTCGAATGTGATTGCTTGTTCCTGCTGGAGTTTACAGAGTACCAGCTCTCACCCTCTTCCCTGACTTCTCCCATGCATAAAGGTTGCAAATGAGGGTTGTCTGCTTCTCTAGATTGCAAAAATGATTTGGAAGCATTTAAACTCCACCTTCTTGTTGCTGATATGCTCATTACACTTTCTGGAACTAGAAACTGAAGTGAAACTTTCTCAGCTTTGGAAAGTTTCAACTTGTCAGAAAACAAATCTGCAAACATCTTGGTGTCAGGCAGGTGGTTCTCTGTATGGCTATATCTGAAACCACATTTTGAAGATGGCTTCAAAGAGGACAGTATTTAATATGCAGTGGCTGGATTTCAAACTTCATCCTGACTTTGTTGAAGGCACCAGTTTGAACCACCCAACTAACTTGAAATAAGGCACTTAAGAGGGATATTTTAATTTGTTGTTGTTTAGTTGTTAAGTTGTGTTTGACTCTTCATGACCCCATGGACCAGAGTATGCCAGGCCCTCCTGTCTTCCACTGCCTCCCTCAAATTCGTGTTGTTAGCTTCGATGACACTGTCCAGCCATCTCGTCCTCTTTCATCCCCTTCTCCTCTTGCCTTCACACTTTCCCAGCATCAGGGGCTTTTCCAGTGAGTCTTCTCTTCTCCTGAGATGGCCAAAGTACTGGAGCCTCAGCTTCAGGATCTGTCCTTCCA